CTGGATCATATTATTTAAAAAAAGATAAAAACCATGATAATATAAAATTAAAAAATAATATTTGAATAAATTTGACTTGTGATTCGAAAGTTAGATAGTTTTGGAATTAAAATTCAATTGCCAATTCTAATTGATTGATGAATTTTCAAAACTTTAATTTTGTACCCATCAAACTTCTCAAGTAAGGCAATTTTTGGTTCTGTAGTGCTTGAATGGTATTCCACCATAGGAGAAGGGATATGATTTGGTATAGATATTAAAACAACTTTAATCATCTGTATATCTCTACTTCTTATCATTTTCATTCTTTTTTATAGTAGTAAATTCAATTAATGCCTTGCAAGCATTAATTTCCTCAATTGTTTTTGTATTTGTGTCATTCTACTCTTCATTTTAACAAGCTCTACAATAATAGCACTTAAAAAAAAAAAAAAAAAAAAAAAAAAAAAAAAAAATCTTCAATAGCTTAAGATATGTAAAAGAAAAGATTTGAGAACAAAAAAAATAATATCAATTTAGATGAAGGTAATCTATAACTTCTAATATGCCTATGTCTCATAAAAAAAATAATCCACTCTTAATCTCAGAAAGACATAGCTCTAAAATTATGAATATATTCTTGTCAATTTGTCAATGACAAGAATTTGATGAAAGTAAATAAATAAGTGAAGCTTCTTCAAAAAAGTATGATAAAGTAGAAATAAAGAAGTATGTATATTAAAAAAAAATTGAAATGGCTATTTTCAAAAGACAAGAAAACTAAATTTTTTTTGAAAGTAGATTAAAAACAAGAAAGGACTTGACAAGAATTAAAAAGACTTTACTCTTGCCTTTATATATACTATCTACCTAGGAACTATGTGGCAATATCCTATAGGACCTCCAAAACAAATTGACTTTGTACGACACGTATCATAACTTGAAAGGCAAGTTTTCTATATAGGTGCCACATAATTAGCTTTTTTTCTAAGCTATTAACATATGTGGCACGTGGTTAACTTATTGACTAAGTTTTTAACCTATTAATCAATTACAAATACATATAAAGTCAAAGTAACATCTATAAAGCTTCTAAGAAGCTTTTATAAAAGATATTATAAAATTAATATATTTTTATTTATTTTTATTGATTCATATTATCTAAATAAAAATTATAATAAATATATATTTATAATAAAATCTTTAACTATTTTTAGAATCTTCTAATCTATGATAGTTTGAACTTCTTAAGATTGATCATAAGACCATTATTTGAAATGATGTATCCTAGGAAGTTAATTTAAGTAGTGTGAAGTATACAAAATATATCATTTATCAAATGTTAAAAAGAAATAAGTGCATTTGTAAGTCTAAAAGGCATGACATTATATTTGAAATATCCATATTTGGTTCAAAACATAATTTTTCATTCATCTATTTCTTTAATGCATACAAGATTGTATGCTCCTTGTAGAAATATTTTTGTATAGTTCTTTGCTTAATTGAATTGATCAAAAGTCCTAAAATCAAAAATAGAGGATTCTTATTCTTGATAGTGATCTTGTTGAAACTTTGATAGTCCATATATATCCACAAAAGTTTATTTTTTTTCTTCACAAGTAAGATAGGAGCTCCAATTGGAGATTTAGAATGGAGTATAAAATTCTTAGCTAAAATTTCATCAATGTACTTGTTGAATATACCTAATTCATTTTGTAATTGGCTATACATTGGTCCAAATAATAGTTGAGCTTTTTTTTGAAGATCAATGGAACAATTATAAGAATGATGCTCTAGAAGAATATTTACATTCTTCTTTTCATAAACGTCTTGATAATCTTAGTATTGGCTTAGAATGCTACTTGATTTATTTATTTATTTATTAATAATAGATGTGATGTATATAGCAAAATTTGATCCTTCTTTTGTAGTATGCATTAAAGCTTTTGCAATTACCAATAGTAGTTTAGATGTATTAATCTTATTGATTTCTACTTGCATAGCATAATCTTAACCTAAATTAAATAAAAAAATATAAAATATAAAAAATCCAATCTATTTAAGGATTTTATTTTTTTAGTCTTGATAATGTAAAAATAATTAGATTAAAAAGAGATTTAATCACATTAAATGTTATTGATTTATTATGACCACTGGTTGCTACATCTATAGGAAATTTTTTATGTATAATAACTCTAGAAGACAACAAAAAACTATCTATTACTTCTACATTGACAAGTTTGGTTTTCTTAAATAATAATATTTCTTATTTTTTAATAGTGTCTTTGTTTTTAAAATAGGCTAAGGTTCATAAATCTAATAAGGCTAAGACTTTGTAATTTTTTGGTCCTAAAAAAACTTCTATTGTGAAATAAGATGAGGAGTTTGAGGAGAGAATATGACATTTATTAAGTATTATATAAGATTCTAGCTGCATTGTCCTTATTATAGTTGGTGAAACTTGTTTTCTGATATATTTTCTTCTTTTGCAACCATGTTCCTTATTTTGTAATTTTTCTACTTCTTTGGTTAATATTGAGCAATGTGCTTGGATTTTTTACAATATTGGCGCAAATCTTCTTGACAGTAATGAGTCTTTTTTTGCTTAATAAGAAGTTTAAAACATACTATATAAATTTGCATAGACTTTGGTTTAGACAAATAAGCTTCCAAAAACTTAAAAGATGTTGCAATATCTGAACTTGTAACTCTTCAGCTAAATCTTTGTTCTTATCATCTTTCAAAGAGTCAATTATTATATATAATACATAGAGTATTAAATTACTCCAATAAATTTGTTCTTAGCATTGTCAATAATAAATCTTTGATATTATCTTTCAACTCATACCAAAATTGATTGATAAAAGCTTTGTCATTTCAATCTACATCGTAAGCAAGATTTTAGAATTTAACAACAAAAATAGTGGCTGAACATGATGCTTGTTGTAGAAATATAAATTTTGTCTTTACTATCTTTTCTTGAATATTTTTTTTAATTATAGCCATAAATACTTTTAAGAATAATTTAAAATCATAGATTAGTAATAAATCTTTTTTCATTAAAGATGCAAACTTAAAAAGAATACTCTTAGAGATAAGTGTACCTATGAATTTGACTTGAGTAAATCTATCAAGATATTGAAAAAGATACAATCTTAGATAGAAATTTATTTGTTGTAAAAACCTTCAAAAAAATTATTCTATTTAATTAAACTTCTCTGACGTACTTATCTTTGTCTTTCTTATAATTATAGTAGCAAGGCTCCTCAAATTCATTTGTGAATTTGATCTACTTACTTTTTTTTATTGCACAACTTCTTGATGCAAACTTTGAACTTCATTCTTGACTTTTTTTTATGCACATAGAAATAGTAACTCAATGATTTTTATTGGAAATATGTGAAATTTTCACCTTAAGAGTATTGATAAGCTTATGAAGATCTACAATAGTTGCAAATCTATTGTTACTTCAACCAAGAGTAGCATCCATAATTTTTTCTTTTATATACAATTCAAAAAAATTTAAAAAGTTAAATTAAAGGAGGATAATCTGCAATCCCTAATATCAACTAAATATTTCGACTAAAAGAGATAATTCATTCTCTTTAAAAGAAAAAAGAAAAAAAAATTAATATTAAAAAATTATTAATTAATTTAAAAGTAGGTGGTCTGCTACCTTCAAGAATACAACAATAGAAGTAGAATAATCCACTCACTTCTAAAACAAAATATAAATAATAAGTTAAGATTTTTATCAAATTGTCAAGAATATGAATCTTAAAGAAAGAAAATTCAATATATTCTTGTATCACTTGAAAAGATTAGAGAATCACTCAAAGATGGTAATATATTGAATTAGAATGGCTATTGCTAAAGACAAGAAGATTAGAAAGTTTTGAAACAAGACTAAGAATTAGAAAGGTGTTGACAAAAGTAAAGAAGGCTTCACTCTTGTCTCCATATATACTCTCTAACTAAGAACTATGTAAGAATGTTCTATAGGACCTCCAACACATATTGACTCTGTAAGATACATAGCTTAACTTACAATATAAGTTTTCTATATATGCACCACAAAGTTAACTTATTCTATAAGCTACCAACATGTATTATACGTGGCTAACTTGTTGACCAAGTTTCCAACTTACTGATCAATTACAAATATGTGTAAAGTCAAGGCTATATCTATAAAGCTTCTAAGAAGCTTTTCTAGAAGATATTATAAAATTTTATCTATTTTTATCTACTTCTATCTAATCATGTAGATAATTATTGGAATAAATATGTATGTCCTTAATATACAGCTCAAACATATAGTTAATTGAGCACATCTATATTTTAGAGCTATTCCAAAATCACATTGTATTACTTGCTTCTAGTCCATTTTAAGGATCATATTGTTTGCCATAGTTACACTTTTAAAATTCTCCTCTAATAATTCATAAAACTACAATAGATGTAGCATTGCTCTTAAATAAAGAATTAATAATATTATGGATTAGTTTGAAAACACAATTATTTGTTGCAATATTGCAAGAGCACCATGAATAACTTAATAAATAACTTTATACAAAGAAAGCAAAGAAGACTAGGACAAATGTGAGGTGCAACACAATTGACTTACACATAATGATCAACTAGACTAAAATATGTTAACAAATATGAAATAAAGATACAAAATAGCAATAAAAGTTATAGCAAAGATGTGGTCACATGGAATAATTATATGGTAGAATAATTGAAAGTTTAGGAAAGTCAATTTAATATTCTCCTTAATTGAAATGTATATAAATCAGACTTTGACAAATATGAGTTGATATCCGATTCAATGATGTTGCATTTATAAGCCACTTCAACACCACCCTTTAAAACTTCGACAAGGATTTGGTTGGATGCCCACTTTGAAGAGCAAGGCCGTCCACGTCGACGACGGCAATAGAGTCCCGGGGCCAGGGGCGCGGAGATACGTCCTTCTTCCTGTGGCATGGGGAAGGGGGACGAAGGTTGCTCGGAGTCGGGGTGCGGCGCGGCGATTCGGAGGTGCTTCCTCGACACGATTTCGACGTCGCTTGCTTGCGATTGTTAGTCTATGGTTTGTGGATCTCTTCAGGCACCTCCGTCTGTTCCAATGTCTCTCTACTGCCTAGATTTCTAGTGTCCACTCCGATTCCACTACGCGGCACATTTCAGTTGCTGGGTTTTTGCCAATTCTGTTCCAATTCTGCTCCAATTCCCCTGTTTCCCTCCATTGATCACTGCGGGCTAGTGCCCAGCCGCGTGATTGGCGATGGTGGGTTTTTCTTCTTTTCTGTAGTGAATCAACAGCCGTGACTTTTTCCGGGTGGAGGGGAATTGTAGGCTTGGCTATTCCAAACTGCGTGGGTTGGTTTGTTGCAGCGTCTGTGACAGGGGTTCGAGTGTTGGCAGAGCATGGACACGCCACTTTTTCAATGCCCAGCTTCTTTTGGGTCTAGTGCTCCATTGTAGCTCTAGCGTCTGACCCTGTACCGGACGAGGTCCTTTGAGAATGGATCGTGCATCTTACTGTGTTACCACGTTGTTTGGATGCGTATTGCTTCTACGCTGACTGCCAGTTAACTATCTGAAAGCTTGATGTGCGATATAAGCCTGCGTGCACTTCTTTGTGCAGGATGGTCTGCATAATTCGTTTTTTCCTTTGTGTAAGTGTTTTTCATCCACTCTTATGGGTCTCCTCATGGAAAATGAGTCTGAATGATTCTGACTTAGGCGAATTAACAAATAAAAAAACCTGATTTGGTGCAGATTTAATTGATCGAGGGGTTTTGACGACTCTAGATTCCGGCATGCAGCGTGACTTCGAGAGGAAATCATTTTCGGAAACCACTGCTACACCGTCGCATACATATATAGAGCAATGGCGGAGCCTGAAGAATCAGTACTAGGGCGAGTTAAGCGTAATATGGGGCACAAGCTCGTTTGGGAAGAATTGGGTGGTTCTGTGGGCGATCTTGGCACTTTTGTGCCTATTGTACTCGCTCTGGTGCTCGTCAATGGACTTGATCTTGGGACAACCCTGGTTTTCACAGGCGCCTACAACGTCGTCACAGGTCAGTGAATTATGTTTCATTAAGCACCATGTTACGTTAGCCAAGGTAGACGTTATTCAATCGAACGTAATCCCTTCGAAATCATGTGGAACGCACCTATTTGGAAATCTAATACCAGGCCGCTGATTTCGACTTAAGGGTTCACGTTTGTTGTGCGTTTATGCTTGTGATCTCAACTTGTGTAACCAGCTCCATCCGATTTGAAACATCTCGCCTATAATGAAGTTGGAACCTATGCATACGCTTTGCGTTTCTCAATAGGTTGAAGTTTTTTGTGGTCCAATCCGATGATATTGAAATCAATACTTGAAATGGTCGAAGAATCAGAATGCAGTCAATCAAAGGTGACATGAAATGGTGCGAGTGAACAGGTCTGCTCTTCGGAGTACCTATGCCGGTGCAGCCCATGAAGTCGATTGCTGCAGTTGCAATCACAGAAGGAGATCCCCTTTCACTGAACCAAATAATGGCAGCGGGGTTGTCTACGGCACTTGTTCTGGCGATACTTGGGATCACAGGTCTCATGTCCGTGGTGAACCGCCTTGTGCCTCTGCCTGTTGTGCGAGGTGTCCAGTTATCACAGGGCATAGCATTTGGGATTACAGCCGTGAAATACATACTTAAAGAGCAAGATTTGACGAAGGGAAAAACGACAGGTGATCGGCCATGGTTGGGGATGGACGGGCTTGTGATGGCGCTATCCGCTCTTTGCTTCATAGTACTCACCACAGGCGCTGGAGGCGGCGGCATTCATGAATGTGGGAGCGACAATGTCGGACTCTTGGAAGGCGCGGAAGACGAGTCCATTACAAGAAGGGAGAGGAGAATGAGGGAGGGCAGGTTTGTCGGTCTACCGACTGCGCTTCTGGTGTTCATCGTGGGAGTCCTTTTGGCTATCGCACGAGATCCGGGCGTAATTTCCAAACTCCACTTCGGACCATCGATACCCCATTTCTTAACCATCACGAAGGAGGATTGGAAGATTGGGTTCATGAGGGCGGCGATTCCTCAACTCCCTCTTTCCATTCTCAATTCCGTAATAGCTGTCTGCAAGCTTTCCAACGATCTGTTTCCAAGCAAGGATGTTTCACCCTTTAAAGTCTCGGTACTCATTTCTTCAAACAACCATTTAAACGATGGATATCAGTTTACAGCCATTGAGTGATGTGCGATGCAAGCATGGTTATAATGGTGGAGGTTCTGATGGTCTGGTGTGTGAGTGAAGGTGAGCGTGGGGCTGATGAACCTAGTGGGATGTTGGTGGGGCGCCATGCCGGTCTGCCATGGAGCGGGGGGATTAGCAGGGCAGTACAGATTCGGTGCAAAGACTGGGATGGCGGTGGTCTTTCTCGGTTCTGCAAAGATGTTTCTGGGTCTGGTTTTCGGCACATCTCTGGTACAACTCCTAGCACAGTTCCCAATTGGACTGCTGGGTGTGTTGCTCTTGTTTTCGGGCCTTGAATTGGCGATGGCTTGTAGGGACCAAAACATGCGAACCGATGCGTTTGTGATGTTAACTGTCTCGGTGATCTCCTTAACAAACTCCAGTTCAGCTCTTGGCTTTGGATGTGGGACTGCCCTTTCTGCACTCTTACACGCTCGAAATATGGATTTATGGGTAAGGCTGTGGAGGCGAGTGTCTCACCGAGGTCCAGCAAGCAGGCGATCTCCTTCTGGTTACGACATTCTTTCCCAAAACCCGCCTTAAGGGATAATTCACAATGCAATTGTGCCCAACTCCCTGGCTGGATTGGCAATTCGAAGTCATGGCCCAACTGGTGATGGCCTTGTGGATTATAACCAGATTTATATTTCCAGCAGTGTGTGTGTGCAGGTTGGTCGAGTTCTGTTGCTCTCCATGGGATGTGCTCTTCCGTGGTTGAGACTCCCTGATTCTTTCAACAAATTGAGTGCCAGGTTTATAAGCAATTACCGCTGTCTCATTTTTCGCAAAATCTGTTAAGATCATGAACATCTAGAGTTGCTGACGGCTGTTCGGTTCAGGTTGTGTATCTGGGTTCATGTGAAACCCGCATTAGTTAGTATTTGTGGTGATTATTGCAATGTTCATGTTGTAGATTTGAACATTTTAAATGTAGATATTGGACAACAAATATATTGGGTAGCATGTGTTTGTTGAAAGAGCTCTCTTTTAGTTGATGTAAAAGCAGATTACCTTCCGACCTCTTGTAGTTTCTCTTTGAAAGTAGCTTTGTGCATGTGGATTTGATGATGTTTTCATGCACTCAATATCATTCATGATTTTACATTTGTATTCACATAAAAAAAAAATATTGTTGTTTTTATTGAGAAGAGATTTCAGTGTACTTCTATGCATGTTTCAAATGTGCTTTACTGCTATTGGTTGAGTGCAATGGCTTTGTGATTGTTTGAGAATATTATCTTAAATATGTATGTTGCTCTCAGTCGTTCAAACATTAACGTCTACATTTGGATGTTCATACAGATAGTAATTTATAAATAATAACTTTTAATAAAGTATCATATCAACAAGCACATTAATGCAATAAGTTATGACATAATGTCATGAGTTTATTTTAGAACATTTGTAAGAAGATATTAAAATATGTAGAAGATTCATTAAGAATGGCATATAGTTGAGGCAACTTTTTCAAAAGACCAAAACTCTTTTGAATAGTCAATTAACTATTAAATACTATAAAGAAGCTTCTTAGATGTAGACATCTCTTTTGGAGTATCATGTACCCTCAAAAGATTATGCTTTAAGTTTCTTATCTTTTAGAATGTTTTTTATACAAACATTGAAGAAGTTAAATATTATAATTATAAATTCTTAAATTATATAATCTCTAAAGTCATTCAAAATAAACTATAAAAATAGTTTATGCTATTTTTTATTATAATTATATTATTCCTAATAAATTTTATATATATATGTATATATATGTATATACACATATACATATACATATATATATACATATATATGTATATGTAAATATATATATATATATATATATATATATATTTAATTGTAAAACATAAATCATAAAGCTTCTTGAATTTCCTAAAAACTAAAATTGACAGTAAACTACATATATACTAAATAAATTATATATATATATATAAACAGATATCTAGTAAACACATTTATTTTACTTTATTTTATTTTAATAATAGATTTATTTTGCATCTCTTTATTATTACATAGATACTTTAAGTTACTATATGTCATATTTATATAATAATTTTATGATATTTTACTTTTATTGACTTACAAAATTCCAACAAAGAATTCAATTGTAGTTGCATCAAGAAAACGAATGTCAAAAAATTAAGAATCAAAAAGTCCAAAACCATGAAAAAATGACTAATTAATCGTTTTTTTTATTTATAAGATATCTAAAGTTGAATCAATGAACTATAGTCACAACCAATTTCGCTACACTCTTCCTGGAATGTGACGGAGTCCGACGACGTCCGACGAGGAGCATACCTGCAACGTGAAAAGTGAACGAACGACCGATGGAACCGACGGACGAGGCGTTCTGTCGTGCAGATGCCCGTCGAAGGTGGCCAAGTGCGACGAAAGTGAACGGAAGGAAGCTGGTGTCCGCGTGGATGCCAAGCTGTCAACTTATGGAAACACTTCTCCCTCCACGTCGGCTCAATGTTACGCCCCCTACCACCGACCCAACCACCTCGGATCTTCTCCCGCGTCTCGGCCTCGAACCTTCTGCCTGCCACCACGGACCGCCTCACGCCATCCCCCTCCCTGCAGTTTTATTAGTCTTCCTCTCGTCATGCTTGCTCGATCAATTGCTGCTTTAGCTCACTGCGCTGCCATGATCTCAGCTTCTAGAAGTAGATCATATCTATTTGAGTTTGAGTGAGAAAAGTTTTTCACAGCTGTTTTGGTTTTTCTTCCTCAAGGTAGAATTGAGTCTTTCTTCTTTGTGAATTGAGTTGGGTGTCTGTGGAGGTTTTTAGTATTGCCACCATGGAGCAGCGGGAGATAGAATTGACCATCCTTTCGGCTCAGGATTTGAAGAACGTCAAGCTCTCCGGGGGAGCCATGACCCCGTACGCTGTGGCCTGGATCCATCCCAATTACAAGGTGTCCACGCCCGAGCACGGTCAGGGCGGTGTCAAACCTTGCTGGAACTCTGTGCTAAGGCTCACGTGCGACGAGAACAGTTTCCAGAATAGTCGCATAACCATCGAGATTTATCACCACGGCTCTTTTTCCAACAAGCTTGTGGGGACTGTCACTGTCTCCTTGTCGGATTTTAACAGCCAACGCCAAGCGAGCGGCTCAGAGGGATCCAGCGAGAAAAGATTTGGATCTTATCAGGTCTTTCGAAGTTCCGATCCTTAGTGGTTTGCTATTGCGACATTGATCATGCTTTTTCGTCTTGGCATGGGGAACCGATCGCAAGCTTATTTGCAGTGCATGAGAATGCTCAGATGATGTTTGATTACGCTTTGACGCTGAAGTGTAGTGTCCTGACTGCCATGTTTCTTTTCGCTGGCTTGCGATTGTGCAGGTACGGAGACCGTCGGGGAAGTATCAAGGAGTTTTGAATCTGTCAGTGAAGGTAGGGAAGTTAGTGAAACAAGCAGAGCACTCGCAGCCGGCATGGGGTGCTCCAGAAGACGTACAAATCAACAAATCCGATGGTAAAGACAATCAACCGGTGACGGCGTATCCTGCAGCGGTCCCCTACGCGATGAGCTCCAGTCAAGCCGGTCCCAGCGGACCTCCGCAACAGTACAATTACCCTCCGTCTGGGTACCCACCCCAGTACGCGCAACCTGCTGCATATTACCAGCAAGCGCCGCCATATCCAGCCCCATATCCAACCTACGTACCTCCTCCGAGGAGAAGCGGACTCGGGGGAGCCGGGTTCGGGACAGGGCTGCTGGGAGGGGCTCTCGGTGGAATGTTGCTAGGCTCAGCCTTGGACGGAGGAGGTGGCTGCGGAGGCGGCTGCGGTGGCGGCTGCGGAGGTTTCTAAGATCCGGACACCGCGAGTGGGATCGCATCGCACACGCATTCAAGCCCCCTCTTCTTTCTATCTGGCAAACTGCACTCTCGGCGGAGCTCCTGAGGCCGAACATGTCATGCACCGACACGCGGACTCTTCGACCAAGGGGGGCGTGGTAGGGGTATAGTTGTGTTTCCTCGGTATGTAGATATCCCACCACCACAATTTTAGTGGAAAGACACAGCTCGACCAGCCAGTTAGATAGCACCTGGTTGCGAATAATCTACGCGCAGGCATCGGGGCTAATGCGCCAGTGCGGGTTGCACACATCCGAAGTACATGTCGACCTCACATCTCAGGATCTTAATCCAACGTAGAGCTTGTTCAATTCGTGCGCTTTCAACTCTGCGCGTTTGTATCGCCAGCGTGCCACGGACACGCCCATCCGTCGCAACGCCGACTATATCGTCGTACTCAGATGCACCAACAGCACCATCGCCTCAACAAATCCTCCACTTACTTTCACGTCTTCCTGCCAAAATTCGTGGGTAGACATGACTGCGATTTCTCTATTCATGGATGAAGCGTGACTGATTACAAAGCGCCGCTGAGTGTTGCAACCAATGTGGCCTCCTCAAGCAACCTGTCTTGCTTGACGGACGGAGTGTGTCAGCGACGGAGGTGATCGTCCACGTCCTCCCCGATGAATGTGGATGAATGACAATATGGACTTAGTTTTCATTCATATGAGAGCATGATTTAGGGTTTGCTGTACTGGAGAAATTTATGGGTTAATATTTAATAAAATTAGTTAATTGTTAGACCAGAGTGCCATTAGATCTCCAGTTTTCACGCCAATATGTGCATACAAGTCTTCAGTTTTCTGATATTTGTTTTGAGGGGTGTTGTGGCATGTTGTGTTTATTTTTCAAGCTTTGTTAATAGGTACATCTTTAGGGTAGATTCATCTTCTGTATTTTTGTAATTTTTTTAGAAAAGAAATAATGAGGAAGAAAGCTATAATATAAAATCACCTCTTTACATTATAAATAAGCAAATAAATAAAATTGTACAAGCCTTTTGAATTAATTTCTTAAATTTTCTTATTAATATAAGATATAATTAAATAGTGTTTCAAATCTTATTTATTTCATTTAAAAGTATCTATTCAAATTTTCTATTTCCATTCGTTCAAGAATGTAAACATATATATATTTTTTAAATATGTATGTACCTTGATACATTGTAAAATATTAGGCATTACATAGAAGCATCAAAAATGACTTTTTGACCTCCATTCACAACAACATGACGAATTTTTTTAAATATTTGACCAAGAAATACAGTGTTTCTACCATATATATATATATATATATATATATATATGATATATAGTGTCATGTTAATAACTTTTTGACAATGAAAATATTGCAATGAATAGTTTATTCAAAATAATAAAAAATCTTCCTACATTATTATTATTATTTTTTTTTTCTAAAAAACATTTGTCCCAAAAAAGAAATAAATCATAATCAAATACTCGATCAATATTGATGTACATTGAAACAAAATTATAGAGAATTATATTCTTAATTTCTTGATAATTTTTATTCTTAGTACTTCTTTAAGGTGGTGCATCCATTTTCTATTATTTTTTCAATAGAATGCCATTTATGGCGAGTCAAGAATGGACAGAATAATGTAGGAAGATTTTGCCCCATGTTTGTTGCTTTAAGCTTAAAAACAAAATATGGCTAGAACTAAACTTTGTATAAATATTTGTACATTATCACTACATAGTAAGTTTTATGTAGGCATGTTTGTGTGGTAAGAGGGGTTGTTTAAATCTCAAATCTATCAAGTTCAATTCTAGTTGATGGCCTTTACATTATATTCTATCATGCATTAATTATTGAATTTAGTTTCAAAAGAATCCAACTTTTCATAAGAATCTCGCATTTTTGGCCTTCCTCTCTTAGAAGGTACACTTGATCCTCTGTTATTTAATATAGTCAATGGACTGCCAATTGTATTGGATATTGAAAGATATTGAATTACACATGGATAGGTTGTGATTGATTGACATGTGTAAGGCTCTGATTGGCCATCTATTAATAAGAAGATGGGTACTTTGGCTACTCTATTGTATATAGTATTTTATCATATTAATGATTGTGCATTAGACTCTCTCTCTCTAGTCTCGCTTTCTTTCTCTCTCTATCTCTATCTCTTGATTTCTCCAATCTTCTTTCTTCCATCTTTTTGTCTTTCTTATTTTCCATCTCTCTATCTTTTCAATCTCGCTTTTTCTATCTCACCACCATGTTGTATTCAACATATCAAAGACACTTACCAATATTCAAAGACTCAAAGTTTGTTCAAAAAAAGGTAGCTAATCTATTGATGAATCAGAAGGAGTTTGCAACATGGGTAGCAGATTATTTCAATCTCCAAAAATCTCCATTGCAGAGTACTATCAACTCAATCTTTAATAAGCACAAAGAATATGAGAGCTTCAATATGTCTATACTTTTTGTAAAACACCAACAACTTCCAACATATATAAACTTAGATGAAGTGTTGGCTAATTGGATGCTCTAGTATTAGCATTGAGATATTTTACTTACTAATGGATTAATATAAGAAAAAGATAGTAAGTTTGCAATTCTTTTGAGCATTGCAAATCCTCCAACATTCTCCAATGGTTGAGTGCAAAAGTTCAAGCAACTAGATTGATTTTTAATATTTAAATTGGATAGTGACGTTGCTTCCACAAATGGTGCTTTAATTGAAGCATTGATTTTAGAGCTGAAAGCAAAGATCAAGCAATATGCCTTGCAAAACGTTTACAAAATGGATGAAACTTGGATTATTTTATTACCTTTTACTTGATAAAATGATTGTTGTTAGCCAAATTGCATGTATGAAATGAGATAAGATAAGGATTATTATTGCTTTAACTGCCAATGTACATAGCTGGGATAAGTTGGACACCTTTTACATTAGCCATGTATCGAAATCTTGTTGCTTCAAAAAAAAATAGCAAATAATTTGGCTTTTATTACCATGCAAATAAAAAAGTATGGATGACTAATCAGTTGTTCTAGGGATGGTTGATGAAAGTTGATAATAAAATGGCAAATGAAAATCAAAAGATTCTACTTCTTCTTGACAATGTACCTTTACAAATTCTAGAGAATATTAAACTGTCAAATGTTGAGGTGTTGTTTTTGCCACTAAACACCATCTTAAAAATTGAGCCAATGGATGCAAGGATCATTGCTGCCTTTAAAAATATTATCATTGCTTTCAATTCGAGTTTGCACTTGACAAGGATGAGACTAGGGAGGTTGATATCTACAAAGTTGATCAATTGACCATAATGTATTGGAATGATGTTGCATAGAATAATATGTATACAACTATCAATAGGAATTGCAATAGGCATATCAGCTTACTGGACAGTGTAAACACTGCAAATGAAGAAGGTTATCTTGGTGAGACAATCATGAATGATAAATTATCTTCAACAATATAATTCCTGAATATTTCTAACTCAATATCTATTAAAACGTTGTGAGGGTAGAAAAAGTTTGCCTCAAGAAAGCGCTAGGCTTCTGGCTGCCACTAAATACTCAATCAAGTCTAAGATATAAAAGTACCAATTTTATATATATAATGTATTTCCTTTTAGGGCAATTACATCAAAACATAAGCCCAAGTATCAAGAAAACATCCAAATGTATGATAAAGTATCTTAAAACCTTATATATCCGTATGAAAAATGTTTTTCAAATTTCAACAACTCATATCTCACCATCGGACCGTCCAAGAAACCTAACATTTTGTATGAAGTATTGATATAATTTCAAAAACCACCAAAAAAACATTCAACTACAAATTCGTTATGGATCTTGAGATATCACCAAAACCCTAATAGTAGCTTTAAAACCTAACTTACATACACCTACGTGCTATTTTCTTCATATCTCATAAAATAAGTACTCAAATACTATGAAACTTTGCTCTATAGCTTTTTAACTTAATAACGCACACTTATGGAAATTTTGAGCCAAAATTTCGTCCAGAAACTCAAGATATGACTCCAACCATTACTATCAATAAAATGATTCACTTACTGCCTTTGAATTACATGTGTTGTCTTCAATGCCCTATAACTCCTTTATCTAGACTTGAAATTCGTCAAACAGTATATGTAAAATGTAGCCAAGAAAGTGTCCTCTCTAAATCCAGTCGCTGATCTTTCATTGCTCTGTGTACGCATATGTTATGCTTGAAAGAGTGACAATAGGTACAAATTTGACACCTTAACTTTGAACACCTATATCTCCTTCACCAAAATTGGAAATCACACAAACTCTTCATCCAAATTATACCCAAAACCCTGAACTTGCTGATCCTAGCCTCCAAAGCTCAAATGACTTCGAAAGAGAAACCTTAATCCCTAATAAGGCCTCGGGCAGCTTCCTTGAAGCCCATTGGCTATGGCCTTCGACCAATAAGAATGAAGATTCCTATTCCTTGCCTTCATCCAACCATGTCTTGCTTTCATCCCTCCTAATAAGCCTCTTAATAGTTTAGACTTTCATCTTTAAACTCCAACCTTCTCTTAAGCTTTATACTAGATATCTAAATCCTACATAATATAAACACTATAATCAAAATAGATAAATCTCCAAATAAATTTCCTTATATAAATTCTCTTTAAATTTGTTTACTAATCACTCTAATCTACATCAAGACCTACAAACATATTATATGTCTTAATTAATTTTTACATACTATAACCTTTTACAGTACGACAAAGCTTCTCAATCTTGTGGAGGAAGAAACTATCCATGAATAGTTTATAGATGAAGTACTTGTTGAATTGGTAGTAGAAAATGAAAATGATGTTGATGAACTAGAAGAAGTAGAACAAGAAATGACATCCAAAGAGATGCTTGACATTTGCTAAAGATTTGTTAAGATCTTGATCTTTTGATTCTACTCCATCTTACAATCTATAATGTTGCTCAACAAATTCAACATGCATTGAGATGCCAAAATAATACAAACTTCACTTGATTCTCGACTTCAACTTCAATTGCAAATTGTACAATATTTTAAGTCTTAATATGTGAATTAAATATTACTTAAAAAATCCTTTAATACTATAGTGTTTATAATTTGTACATAATATAAAATTACAATCAATAAATTAATTAGTATTTTTAATGTTAAATATTCTTAGTTTTATTTTTATTTTTTGTTTGTTTTTATTTTTTTTAAATTGAAGATTCTTTATTTGATCACATGCCACTAGTTTATTCTAAAGGCTTCCAAAAAGATTAGACACGAAATATGTTTTTAATAACTTATGAAAATACAAACAAAAACTATATACACAACAACAAAACATGATTTAATATAATAATAAATGTTTGGCCAATTGAATTTCTAAGTTTACTTTCTACACATAATAAAACAAAAAAATAAAAAATATCAATACTTTAACAATCTTTATATCTAAAAGCCTACTTTACAAAGCCATATAGTATAGAATTACAAGAGGTCATGAAATGGACCAAATTATTCTTTCATAACAAGTGTAAAGACATCAAATTATATCTTGATTTAAATAATTATACTAAGTTATTTTCATTTTTGAAATAATAATTTTTAGCAATTTTTTCACATATTTTTAAATTCTTGTAAAACAGACCTTGTGAAGTAAGCCTATTGCATACTTTTAAAAACAACAATATTGTGCAATGTACCAGTAAAGTATGTTTTTATCAGAACTCTTTTTAAAATTTTAGTCTTCCAAATATAAAGCCATTTAAACGAAACTTCTCAATTTCCACCAATCTAAGCCTTCTCTTCCCTTCTCCCTTAAATATAAATGTTTTCTTAAACTACTGTCAATAACTTTCATTATAAAGGACAAACTGAGTTTTTGAAAATTGATCATTCTTCAAAATTGCTTCTGAAACACTTGAAAAAAGTACATATAACTAGCCCCTAATATTCATTAAGCGTCTCTCACTACTACACAGTAACCACGAACTACTATTCAGATCCAATTTTCAGAATGTAACATTACCGAAGAATTGTCTGAATAGCGTTTAAGAAAATCTGAGAATCAGTACCCTGCACATATAAAATACCCACAGGATGCAATTTTTCTTCGAGAAATTATTTCTCCAAGTAAATTTCGTAGTTTTTATTTTCAAAAGCACGCAGTTTAACAGTGAAGTAGAAAAGAACCTATGCTCCACAACCTAATAAATGCATTTTTGAATAAGACCTTTTTGAAAAATTCACTCGATGGACCAGTTATACTCTTCAAGAAAAAAATTCCCAGCCCATCCCGTCTGAGGTACATTATCAGGTAGCTTTGATAACTGTACTTCAATGCATTCCAATACAAATGCTGCAGGACAACGTTCCTAAAGCACTCATCGTGGCAATCTTTGAAAAGGCTCGCAGTAAGTTATCAACAGTCAGGCTCGCAGAACGTGAAAGCTTAAACTACCGACGTCAGGGTCCAGTCATGCGAACGATGTACATACTGAAACAAATCACATTTGCCAATGATATAACTAAGCTGTTAAACAGTTGTTATTGATGAGATCAACACAGAAATCACACCACGACCGTGAAAATTTCTTAAAGAAAACTAAATACGGACCCAGCAGGACCTGTGCATTCGGAGGCAAGCCCATTCAATTATACACGTCAAAAAAACGCAACTATTTAAAGATTACGTTGTGATGAAAAAAATAAGCACTACGATCTGAAGACAGAATGGGAACCTCTTCATGCATATATGAGATATGCGCAGGAATTTCTCCATATTCTCAACACACCAACGATTCACATTCACAACTGCTTGAGACTATAAATTTGGAAGCGCAACTAATGCAGAGGAAAGGCTTCTTAACAAGCCACTTTATATCAACATGTGCGACGTGGCCCAGCTCATCCGTGGATCGCAAATCAGCAGATCATGCAAAACAGAAAAGATCCGACTGCTGTACCCATGTTATAAACTTGTCCATTGCTACCATAAATTCGGTAAAGCGGACGATTCATTTTCCTACATTAAGATCCACCAATTCCTGCAAAAATCCACGAGATGCTCTCGTCCACTGCCATCCAGCGAGCTTCGGTAACACAACATGCCCTCAGCTGTCCATTCTCAGCATCCCCACTTCTCCGGATTCCACACCTAGTGCTTAGCTGGGGCCGGCTCTTTCGCCTAAATGAGGAAAAAGTAAAAAATGAAAAAATAAAAAAGTGGCCACAACAAAAACATCCAGCACAAATCGGATAATTCTTGTAAATTTAAACACTAGAAGCGTTGTGTTCGAAGTCGAGAACTCCACCACAATTCAATATACAACATATCACAATTCACTCCCCTCACAACAAAAGACAAACTCCAACACATTTCTGGGCACACGGAAGCATGCAACCCCTAGTGGACAAAACCCTAACCCTAACGTAAGAAAAGAAGTGGGGAATGAACCTTGAGATAGGCAAGCTTCATGCTGCCGTAAACGACACCGATAGAGACAGCGGATATCCTAGCCACCTGCACAAAGGCACCATGACGGGAGAGGTAAGTGGAAGGAATGAAGAGAAGAGCAAGCCAAAGGAAAGGGACAAGCTAAGAATGGCAGGAAGAATAGGGGGTTAGGGTAATTTACAAGGGCCAAAGTGCTAGAACCGGAATAAGGACCTCCGGCCATGGCTAGCAAGCTAAATAGGACGCGACGGACAAGAAGCAACAGAAGAAGAAGAAGAAGAAGAAGAGGAAGGAGAAGCAGCAGCAGCAGCAGCGGCGAGTGAGATTGGCAGCGAAGACGAACGATGGCCCCCCGACAGCACCATTCACTTCATAACAGAGCTCCTCCGAGACACCGCCTTGTCTTCCCCGACGGATGGATGAATCCGTAGATGAATGATAAATGTGTATCTCGTCGCTTGGATCCACGTGGGGGGTACCGCTTGTCACCCTTTCGTGGAAGCTGCGTGGGCTTGTCATTAGGGTTTGTCGAGGGCAGTGCTTTGAGCTTGTGGCATTTGTTACCACAATCTGTCGGAAAGTAATAGTGGGTTTCGTATTAATAATAGTAATAACAACAACAACAACTATCATTGAAGTGGTTATATATATATCTCTCTCCATATGTATATATTGGTATGAAGTGGTTATATATATCTCTCTCTATATGTATATATTGGTATGTATTTTTTAATTGTTTATTTACATGTGTGTATATGTGAGGTTGAAAAAAACTTGGCTTTGTAGAAAAGATAATATATACTTGTAAAACTCCAAAAGACTACATGGATTAAGGAAAACTTTAATGGTGCATAAATGTGTCCTACCAACTTAAAATAACAAACTAACAAATAGATTGGGTTCATATCTTTTTTTTTTTTCTTTTTTTTTTTTTTTCTCTTTTGCAATAGATTGATAATAGATTGAATTAAATGATAAGTATATCCAATTAAGTAAGTTGTAGTGGATTCTTGTCATTAATTTTTGCAAGTATATATATATATATATATATATATGATTCAACAAATGAAATGCAAAATAGATAAGATCAAAATTCCAATCTTGATCTTACTCATTTAGCAATAATTTGAGCAAAATTTAGTAGAAAAAATTAGTACGTAAATATTTTTAAGCATATTGCTAACTGTTTGGTTGAAAACCTAAACAAAAAATTGAACATTATCATGACAAAAAATCATTTAAATTAAGAAAGTTAAGACCTACACAACTATAATGTGCCAACAGTGCAATACCAACATTTCATATAATGACCAAAGTTTTAGAGAGCTTTTTTTAAAAATAATACAAAGTTAAATATTTTTAATTTATAAATAAAAAATATTATTTTTAAAAGATTATAAAATATAAAAAATATATTTAAAATAATAATAATATATAATATAATATGAAGATACAATGTACCAATGACAAAAGAAGTTCTAATGATTTGACTTGGAGAAGTAGACAAAATAGAGAACCATGATATAATTGTCAAATATAAAAATGGATAAGGTATCTAGTTTATAAATATTCTTGTTCTTGCATATGATCCACTTTAACATCCTTTGTTCTTCTCAAAGGGCAATAGTAAATAGACTAATGCCATCCAATAAATTATTGGAAATCAATGGATATCAATACATGTATTTTATGCATATAGATTACATATTTTGTAAATAAAAATGGTTATTTATTGAATTAGTTGTCTATTTTAACAATAAATTATTGATGTAGCAATCAAAATTAAATAAAGTAATCTCAATTTTGTGATTTATAATCAAAATATTTTAAAAGTTGAATTATATAATACATTGATAAGCATCTTTGTTACTATTGTTAGTTTAAACATTGTACAAGTTAGATATTGCATTATCCTTCTTATAAGCTTGTCAAAATCACCTTGCTTTGGATGACAAGCATATTATGATTTGATAGCAATTTTTTGCTCAAAGCAAATTCTTGAGTTTTTTGTTATTTTAAATTTAATCTAAAATAGGTTGTAATTATAAGAAAATTATTTGAATGCTAAACTATAATTGATAGATATAATTTGGTTGCATGTATCTTTAGCACAAAAACATATTCATTCCTTGAAGGATTAGCAAAAAAATATATATATGATTTGTTAATATGATTGGGTTTGTTTAGACAAGGAAATATCAAAAACAAGGACTATTGCATATTTATATATTCTTAGTCTTTTCTTAGAATCAAAAGACTACCATCACAAAAGCAATAGAATTTTTAGATTGTATTGAATTGAAGTTACAAGATAATATTGAGCTGTACATCATAATGACAAATTTTGCTTTACTTAGGGCATATAGAATTAAAAACATATTTGTTCCTTGCATAAGAAGTGGCATTTGTATTAAGAAATATCTGAGAGCATTTTGCAAGTATACAATGCAAGGTAAAGATGGATATATTATATATCAATGACTTGATAATGGACTCATATTTTAGTACAATTCAAATGGATTTGCATATGAAAATTGTTAGGTTGTACATTATAATGCATATTTGTATAAGAAATTCAATACACACACTAATATTAAAGGTTTTTTTGGCATAAAAAATGTCAAGTATCTATTCAAATATGTATACAAAGATCTAGACCTAATTTTAATTGAAGTCATAGGACTAATGAATTAAATTGAATAATAACTTCATACAAGATATTTAGATCCAACTAAAGGTATTGATTATCTATTTCACACAAAATGTATTACAAATAGCCATTCATAACGCAATTGATTGTGTATTTGCCAATTCAATATAATATTTTATTTTTAAATAATAAAAATTTAGTTATAATTGGTATTTGTGGCATATTGCAATATATGATGTTTACTAAATACTTTGAATTTAATGCTATATATAATTACTCTTGTAGTATGATTTACATAGTTTTTTATAAAATTATATATTAAAAATAGAAAAATAAAAATATAGGCTATTTGTATCACAAATTTATATATTTATTCCAATAATTACCTATATAATTAAATAGAAGTAGGTAAAAATAGTTTAATTTCATAACATCTTTTAGAAAAACTTTCTAAAAGTTTTATAGACACTACTTTGACTTTACACATGTTTGTAGTTAATTGGTGGCTAAAAACTTGGTCAATAAATTAGCCACATGTCACATATATTAGTAGCTTATAGAACAAGCTAACTAAATAGTACATATATAAATAACTTGTCTTACAAATTAAAATATGTATTTAATAAAGTCATTATGTATTGGAGGTCTTATAGAATAACACCACATAGAGACTATATATGGACATAAGAATGAAGCCTTCTTTACTCTTGTTAACACCTTTCTAATTCTTAATCTTATTTTAAGCCTTTCTAGTCTTTTTATTTTTAACAATAGCCATTATAGTTCAATATATTATTACCTTTGAATGATTTCTTATTCTTTTTAAGTAACATTAGAGCGTATTGATGTTTTCTTTCTTCCAAATTCATATCCTTGATAATTTGATAAGAGTGCTAATTTATTATTCTTTTCTTATTATAGAATTAAGTGGATTATCTGATTTTTATTGTTGTATTTAAAGATTGCCAACTATCCACCTTTAAAAAAATAGTTTGGTTTTTTAACATTTATTTTTATCTTAAAGAGAGTGGATTATCTTTCTTTGTAGAAATTTTTATTTACTATTAGAGGTTGCAAGATATCATTCTTTAATTTAAGTTTTTGAATTTGTCTGAATTCTCTATAGAAGAAAAGATTATGAATAGTATTCTCAGCAAAAGTGAGAATAGATTTGTAACTATTACAAATCTTTACAACCTTGTCAACATTTTAAGAATAGAAATCTCACATATTTCTAATATGAATAATTAAAGTACTATTCCTATACATATGGAAGAAGTCTAGAGTCTATGCCAAGAAGTTGTACATTAAAAGAAGTAAATAGATCAGCATCACAACCAAGTTTAGGAAGTCTTGCTCTTATAAGTACTAGAGAAGTAAAGATTAGTATGCCAGAGAAGTTTGATAGAATAAGATCAAAATTATAAGGATTTTTACAAAAAATTAAGTTTTATTTAAGGTTGCACTCTTTTTAATACCTTGATGGATTTATACAAGTTGGATTTATAGGCGCACTTCTATCAAGAAGTGTTCTTTTTTTGATTTCTACCTTTGATGGAAAATGATTCCTAATTGCTCTATAATTTGAATTAATTCTTGGAAGTATTTATGGCTATATTTGGAGAAATTAATTAAGAAAGAGTAGTAAAGACCAAACTTGTATTGCTACAATAAGGTTCGTATTTAGCTACTACATATGTTGTTGAATTCCAAAATCTTTCTTATGACGTAGATTGAAATAACAAAGCCCTTATGAATCAATTTTGATATGGATTAAAAGATAATATCAAAGATTTATTATTGACAATATTGAGAATAGATTTAATAGAATAATTTATTGCTCAAGCCATTGCATATCACAATCAATTCTTTTAAAGATGCCAAAAATAAAGATTTGGTTGAAAAAATATAAGTTAAGCCATAGCAATATCTTCTAAATTTTTGAAAGCTTATTTGTCTATGATAGAGCCTATGTAGATTAAAAATATACCTTCTTCCTTTCATAATGTATAAATATAAAAATTCATAACCACATCATCTTCTAAATCAATTATATCTTTTCCATCATAATATCTTCCTCTTGATAATATATTTGTAATTGAATTTTCTTCCCTTGAAATATGTTTAAATTTTGAATTTATAGATTTGATATATACTATCTATTTTAACATAGGAATATCAAGAATTGAACAACTTATAATCATACCCAATAAAAGTAAACAATTTACTTCTATAACTAATGTTACACTAATCAAGTACTCTTTTTTATTTTTTATAACTATTATTACATCGCATAATTCACTTTTGATTTGTGCATATGCTCTTTGTTTAGAATTCAAAACCTTTGTTCTAAACCTTATTATATATTTATTCACTTTTTCATCATTTTGTCCAACTGCCTAACATATTTCAATTAAAATTGCATTAATTTTTAAAATTATTAGCCTTCCATATTCATAATTTATTTTCTTCAAAGTTAGAGGTGAAGAAAGAATTTCTTTTAATTTTTTCATAGCTTTTCTTTGTTCTTTTTTTCATCAATTTTTTTGATTTTTTTTAATAATTTATATAATAGATCTATTACATGTGCAAAATAAGATATCTATATATAATAGAAAATATATGCTCTTAAAAACCTTCTAATTTTTGTTGTATTTGCAATTTTTTTATTTTTTTAATAATATCAACATTTTTTATACTTGGCTTCCATCC